CCCCTCCCTCCCTTTTCTCGAATGTAAATAATAGCAATAGCAAATTGAATCGAGATACAATGAAAGACTCATGGTCAGGCAAGAATGGGTTATTTGGAGAAACCTACGAGGGCCGTTGGAGTCGTTTGCATAAAAAAAGATGCTTGCACCCTCCAGCACCTAAACTGTAGCCACTGAAACTGTATTTGAAGTCCATTCTTGAGCCTTAGAACCCTTTTCTGATATCAGTACCACTACGACTAATGACCGACTTGAAAGTTGGCCGAGTTTAATTTATGTACATTCGGTGAATTTCATGCTTATACTGCGATGTGTTTGTGATCTTTGTATAATAAATTTCCATAGGAGAATGAATAGAAATGACGTATTTGTAAGGTCGCCTTCACGTGGGCAGCACCATAGAATCCAACAAGGAGTTTGACTCAAAAACATACGATAGTTTTACGATAATTTTGGAGTATCTGTTTAATTTTGACGAGTAATGGAAGTGACAGTCCAGAATAGCGCAAAAGTGGAGAGAAAACGCGGAAATCTGTTATTTGGAGTAATATAATGCTTTAAAAATGGTAAAATTAGGAGTCGGACGAGTATGTGACGACAGACGGGTATTTGGACGAGTTGTTTGAATGTGCTGTTTTTGTTGCTGTTCAATGCATACAGCTAGTGCAGTAATTTGCTTTCATGCAAGGTGTGGGTCCCGGCACGAGTGGTACAACCTCCACAGCTTAAAAACTCGTCTGCCTTGGGTGTGCCTAAGACGGCTTTAGCTCCATTACGGCTCCCTGTCTCGGCGGATAGCGTCCCCTGGGCTATCCTTGAGGGTCACAGGTTCACCTATGAGAGGAATCTCAGAAACAATTTTTAACGTGGACAGGGTCTTTCAACCAGGACCAGTACCGTATAGGATCTACAAAACCGAGGAGTAGCTCATTTTTCTTCAGCGTGCCGTGAATATCCCCCATTACCTCAAACAGGACTGTACCGAAGACTTATAATGCTCTTCTTAATCACCCAGAAAACAGTAAAAATGTTATTCCAAAGTAACTCGTCTTTTAAGGAAGGCCGATAAGTTCTTAAGAACACCCAAACATTTGCCATTTGCGGTCTTTTTGATTCGATAAGGAGAGTTATTATGACCTTAACCTCAGCGGTTGAGAAAAAAGACGACCCACCCATTGCAATGCTTTTTTTGATGGCAAGCACTGCAGCAAACTGTAAAATATTCATGTAATATCGCCAAACAATTGTTGTAGAGCATAGAGGTCTCAGAGGTGCGAGGCCTATGGAGACGTTACCCTACCGTACCACTTGAAGCAGTAACATAAGTTAGGAATCGTTAGAAATCCACCTCGCTGGTGCTCCTGGCAAACCACAACACCTTCCCTGACCTTGCCCCCAGTAAATGATGGAACCCACAGGCTTTCACGTAGTTTCAACGCTGCTACACATGATCAATACATGAGAAAGGTAAAGCTTACTCATCATCGGCCGGGAAATGACTAACGTTGTAGTGCAGTGGCGAACGTTGAGGAGGGATTATAACCGTACTGAACCGTATAGCTCCAGAGCCTATAGTCAGTGAGGCTTCTGGGAGAGCTGTGCCATTTGATGTACAGCGACCAGAAGCCCACGAAAGAATCCTGGCAATAATTCATGCTATCTTCCGCCTTGGGTAGGCTGTGGTAGATGATGAATAACCAAGCTTCGGAATGAACATGAGGAAGTGGGTATCCTGTTAAGCCTATCAGATAAGGGAAAGGCCGATGTAGGCAATGAATGGGCATTGCATCGGGTTGCCACCCGTGTTTCGAAATGGGACTGGTCCGAAAGTTAGCCTTCTGGAGCAAACTAGCCTCGCGGCATCTGTTTTTGTGCCGAGGACCTAGGGAACCGATCCCGTTTTCTCGTATGTCCTTCAACGTTTCCGTATGGCCATTTCAATGAGGTACTTCTGAAAGATTAGCATAGTGTCGAAGGAACGTTTACATGGTTTTGAAGCGGTTTCCCTAGCAAGTTCAATGCTGCTGATTTCCGAGATATCCCCGGCATGAAGCTGAATCATCTATCAGATCAGAAAACGGCCCCGGATTGGGTGTTATAAGGGCACGAAGATTGCATTGACTGTATGTCACACTCAGTGCGAACTAGTTTATGGGAGTTGTAGAAGCTGTATCATTCTCAAGAGCACCCGTGAAGAAGGATGTAAAGAACTACTCGTGACCCATGGCGACAGTGGGATGCAATTGCGAACAATCTTGACTCGATGTAGTCAGCTCTTTAGATTATTGCAACAAGTGAAATCTCGTCCGAATATCCTTCTATATCATTACCGTCGTTGTTATCGTCAGCTCTCGAGACGTAATGAAATTCGAGGAAACATCACATCAGGCAGAAACCCCACTCTCCAATCTCCAGGTCCACAAGCATGAACTTTCGTACTTGGGAGAGTGAACTCGCAGACACATTTATGGACTTCTTCAAGTCTTTGGCCATCATAGCGCTTCCAAAACCATGGCATAGCACTACTACACGAAATGGGCTTACATCAATGCTACGTCTTCGTCAACCTTCACAACCCAACACTTCTAATTTCCCAAATACATCTAAATAGATATGGATACTTCTCCCCGAAATCGCGTCGAGCTCGCCGAGCCTGATGGTGCCGAGTGCGCGATGAAGGGAATGGTTTCAATCCACTGCGGGAGAATAAGGTAGTTGCCGTGAAACCACAGTTGCCTGGAATTCGGGGAAAACCACCGCTCTCTATCTAAACAACTATTTTGGTTCCATCCAATATTCCGAATAGCTAAGGATGATCGTTCCACCCTCCCAACAAGCTGGTACCTCTCACTATTCTTTCCAAACTTACAAACAAACAACAACTTACAACAAACATAAGTGTGCTGCTTTGCTTTGGCTTGACTTCAGGAGGTATGGGTACATACGTGCGTCCGAGGAGGCGTGCGGCAAACTGCGCGGAGAAAATCGTCGATCGAAAATCGATTCCAGCGACTCTGAAGCCTATTATTGGGTCACAAACTTGAAGTAGAGTAGCTTAGAAAGGACAACCGATCCTACTTATCTAATCTACTTCAAATTTGGGCCCCAATGATAGGCGCTAAAGTTGTCCGAATCGCCACGAACTTAGCCGTGCAGTTTGCCGCACGGATCCTCGAACGCGCGTACGTTCCGTCCCCCGCCTTCCCTAGATTTTGGCGTACGAGGTACCACGCAACAATAAATGAGCTGGATTTTTAGTAGGTGTCAAATTGTGTCATCGCTACGCGGTAGACGCTGATCAAGGGTTCCTCGCAAAATTCGAGGTGCTTTTGCATTTTAAGATCGGTAACTTGTGAATTAGTACTAACAGCGATATGACGAGGTTTCCTCCTGCACTGCATCCCAAAAGAGAGCTTGACAGGCGCTATATCAAGGAAATTAGACGATTGTATTACAATGCACATAGGTCTTTTTCGTTAATGTTCATTACAACTCTAATCTGGCCAAATGACCATTGGGACGTCTTCAAAACTTTTCGGCTCGCTGCAGCCATATAACTTTCAAGCTCTTCCCAATATTACGAAATGTTCTCTTTTATTGAATGTCTTTTATGGATTTTTTGTGATGTTTTGGTTTCAGTTGAATTGTGTACTGGTGTATTACTTGAATTTTATGTTGTTTCGAATATAATACAAAGACGCTTTTCAGGCTATTTCGTGCTACAGCTACTGTCGCCGATGAGCTTCATCTTGTGACCATAAAAAATTTACCGGATTATGGCACGGCTAATATCTAGAAAAGAAACGAATAAACGGAAAGTATGTGATGCTTATTATTCTCATTTACTTATTCTTTGTCCTAAAGGTCAAAGGTAAAAGCAGTTTTTTTTTGGAAAGGTGAAGTTTTGTACTGTGTTCGTGCTTTAGGGTATAATCGTGGGTGCGTTTGAATGTATGTTAACTACAGTTGCTTCTTGGACAAGCTAATTCAGATTCCGTACTTTTATTCGTTATTTCATTATCATTACTTTTTTGCCAAACCTACATGGTAGGGATGGGAAGCTTTGTAAATTTGGTGGGCATTGATTTAGGGTCAGGTCGCGGTTTATACGGTACGCGGCGTTTGTGGTGGCCTAAAAACCTGGAATTGTCCTGGTGTTCAATAGGAAAAACGTTGAAATTGAGACATGTGTTCAGGTTCCTATTTTTAGACGTTATTCCGAGATGAAGCTATGGAAGCAGCCGCTGCTCTTCTGAGCGATGACATAACGTTTGAACAGGCGTGGATTATTCATAAATTGGATTGCTTAGGTTGCCTACTACACGATGTCCACAATCCTAAGTGAGTCTGGCGACCTATTAAACCTTTTTATTCAAGTTCTCATGTGTTTTCCTCTTCAAAGCCGCTGTTTTACAACTTTCTTTTCTAGGTCAACAAATTGCCGCGATAACCCTTACTGTATCAAGCGGTTAGGACTAGAAAAGTTTGAAAAACTAATTAAAGCTGAAAAAATTAATACCGCCAAGGTTGAGGAGGTGAGTGGAAAGTCCAGATAAATGTTGCGTTTGGTTGGGAAGTTTACGGCTAGCTACCTTACTGCATTATAGAGCCAAAAGCGACGGAATATACTGGAAGTCCCCTGCGGTTTAACCAACTCTGGAAATTTCTGTTACGTTAATAGTTTTCTGCAGGTGAATTGCGTTCAATATTGTGCCACACTGCTCATCAACCTTCATTTGTTTCTAATGTTGGTTAGCTATTCGATGTTTGCCATTGCTATATCAGCGTATTATTTGAGGTTTGGTACAATGATCCGGTTTTTCGGCAGATAATTTTTGACTGGCGGCCTTCTGCAGACTACGTTCGGTGAATCATTTTCTTCTGTAACATTACTTTTTTATTCAATGAGTTATTGCCCTTTTAATCGGAATTTCTCAGGCCTCTTCCACCTGCAATGGACGTGGAGGCCGTCATGAATAGTCTACAACACCTCTTCTATACGATGCAGACCACACCATTCGTGAGCGGTTTATTTTTTCTTTGTTTTAATATCCTGTTTGATCATATGAACATGGTAGCATTGGAAGACTACAACGCGACTGAAGTGCGGTTGCTACCAGCGTTTGTTTCGAGAAATTCACATAAAATTGTTGAGGAGCTGTATAGAGTTCGTACCAATAGCTCCCTTAGGTTAGGCATATTAGGAGGTACACAATCTCACGTCTATCAATAGAATCAAACCACCGCAAAGCATCTGAAACCACCTAAATCCTTCACTGTCGCATTGTAGTTCTATGACCTTGTTATTCCGGAATCGATAGCACTCATAGTCTCTATCTTTTCACCTTTTCTCTTTACTGCCTAACCTTTACAGTAGAGCCGATAAATTATAATAGCTTCTAATAGCCGTCTAACAGCAATACATCATGTTCCATTTAAAAAAGTTAAACTATTGGTGGTAATTGTTGTGATTTTCAGGAGGATACTGATGACAATCGACATTTTACTGGGGCTCTAAGGCTTGGTAATGAGCAGCAAGACGCCCAAGAGTTCTCTTTGGTATTGTTCGACGCTTTAGATAGAAATCTTCCCAAACACCCCCATGGTGAAGAAATTCGACAAAGAATCCGCGATCGTTACTCCGTGAGTTGATACCCTCTTTTCAAACTGCGGCAAAGTTTACACAATGCATTTCACTATCGTAAGTTCTGCTTTAATTTTATCAAAACATCGTTTGAAGCGCTACTTCATTCTGCAGCATACACTTTTAAGGTCGCTTTACAAGTAAATGGTGATACCCATGTTTTCAAAGTAAATGCTTTTCTTTTTTCCTAGTTTTCCTTAGAACTTCAAGTTTTTTCCTTGCAGCGCAAAAGGATGACCTGAGAATTCTTTTCTATTTGAACCCGATTACGTGTGCTTACCAAAATAACGCAGCATGTTCTATCGCGATGTCACGTTGTCTTCGTCTTGCTACGCCAAAGACCAAACTCGGGCTGTTTTACAATGTTAACCAAGTAGTCGATCTAGAAAATCGAATGCAGTCATCACCTAAAAATCACTGCCTTGTTTGCTCCTTTCCGAAAGTTCTGGGACCTACGACGCCAATGCTGCCCCTGAACGATGATTATGCGAACGGCATGAAGAGCAAATATCGTCATGAGCCATTGTGTTAGCCAAATCTGAACAAAACTGTTGTCTTGAAATCGGCAGTCTGAACAGCTATCATATAAAGCAGCAGCACTCCGAAATATGTCATGAAGACACACATCCACTGGCGGTTATTTATAAACCACTTTTCCGGGCAAATCTAAGGTCATTCCAACGGGGTTTCACCCGGCTAATTGCATTGGATCGGAAAGAGGTGCTGTTGTGAATTAGCAGTGATTTTTTTCAAGCTGTAAACTCTTTCGTATATTTGGGTAATCTCACGAGTGGAAGAAATTCAACTGGGGGAGCCCTACGGCTGTAAATGTACAGGCCAGAATCGAGTGCTGATTTCGGGAGTTTATTGATAACAGAAAACCAGAGCCTGCTTTTGTTTCTTGTCGAATTGATCAGTAAGCAGATTAAGAAGTTCCTCTGCTAAACTCATTGACCCGTAGCAAAAAAATTTGGTCCTCAGGCAGGACAATGCCAGCCTTTAAGCCCGCACGTCAACTTTGGTGCGGTTCCAACAGCACGAAATCAATCTTATGGAGTGGCCTACGTATAATACTGCTCTCAACCATTTGGAAAACGTAGAACATATATGTACCGTTCTGTGTCATTATTTCCCTGTGTAGCGAATTTGATAGTTTACGATTTCAAAATTTAGTCAGCGCTTCATATTTTATTTTTGGCAAAATAAAGGGCGGAAAGTGGTTGGTGAAATGAAGGAATAACAGTGAAATGCACTACTGAACTCATGGAATGTTGAGTTTTGCCAGTGGATCGCTATGTCGCTATCAATCAGTTTTTTCTGTTTTCTACAAGCTTCCTACAAGTCCTAAAAATTGAAGGGTCTGCGCGAGTATAGGAACGATACGAGTTTTTCTCTTAGGGATCTACAACTCAGCGGATTTGGTGTACATGCGGTAAAGAAAGTAATCGAAGTTCACCTTTTACCGCTCTCCAACTGAATATCGACGGGTTCAAAACGCTCCACGAAGTATTGGATGCATATTTTGGAGAAGAGCTGTGGGTTTCTTTTGAGATGATTCTGTTCAGTTATAATTTTTTTAAATTCTACTTCATAAAGGACAGTCACATCTGTAACTATTTAGCCTAGAGGATTACCTCTGCGATGAATGTGAGCGAAGGGGTTACGTGAAGCGACAAACACTCCCAGAAAAATTACCACCGGTTGTCATGTTGCAGCTGAATCGATACGTTTTCGATGTGTAAGGGGACTTCGTTGTTGATGTTAACGCTACACATTAACTAGTATGTTTGTTATGCGTTATTATTTTCAGAAATGGTAGAAATCGCAAATTGAAGACACCTATCATTTACCCACGAGAATTATCTGCGCGATCATTCCACCTGAACGTCTCAAAATGTAAGTTTCTAATTTCCACTCGCTGGCATGCTCAGTAATAGTGATGAAAAAGGAAAATGAATGTTTCTAGTTCATTTGTTGGATTTCAGATGATGATTTTGATTACGAACTTTTCGCTGTTATGATTCATGAAGGCGACAATACTTATTGTGGCCACTATTATGATCTTGTACGGCACCCTTTCACAGGCGTTTGGTACAAATACAACGATGAGGTAAATGATTTTAGTAGTGACCAGAATTTGGCACCTCATCTTTCAGAATACTTTTTTTCTGGTTTTGCCTTTAATAGAGTTTGCACAATGCCGTGAAGTAACTACTTTTACTTCGAAAGTGGAAGGGAAAAGTGAAGAAGAGAGGTGTAAGGCAGTTGTTCCTACTCTTCAGATCTAGTCCGCTGCTGCAATGCCANATCCTTTCCGTAGATATTCTTCGCTTTCTGATAAGCTACGATATATTGTAGTCTTCTAATTAAATAGTTTTTCAGTGGCAGTCTTTTTTTCTTGAAGAAAAGAAAGTTAGGTGCATATCCCTATAACATTCGTTGCTGTCTTGAATCTGTTTTGCTGGGGCTCATCGCGTCTAAATTCGCGCATGTCAGCTAGGTTGCTACGCATTCAGCGGCATTGGTTCATCGGTTCCGGACCCTTTAACATTAATATCTGTGCAGCTCCTATTTCTGAACCGCGGCAGCGTGTGCAAGCTCTTGCCCTAGTTCATTTGTTGATGAGTCGTATTTTTGTAATTTCCTTTTATTCAGCACGTAGAACCTCTTGCTCGGCCACCAGGCGTCGATAGAAGCAAATCCATACCAGGTGGGCGTCCGACTCCTGATATGAAGGCGTGCTACGGACTCGCCTATCGGAGAAAAGAACCAAAAATACCCGAAATTATTATGCCACCTGATGATATAACTGAGACATGGATTGTAGCTGTGAGTTCACGCTTCACTATACTTTCACTAATACCCGATTTGGGCAACCATTGCTATTGAAAATATACCAAAAAAGTCTTATTTTTCTAAATTGAATAGTTCTCATCCTGCGAGTTTGGAGTTCCATTATGAGTTCAACTGCACGTAAAAACCATTCATCTTCTCACGTTATCTAGGAGACTTTGCCATCTTCTGCTATTTCTTTTGTTTTCAAATTTTATTTTCCTCCATTTCAAAGTCAGGTGTTTTTTATTCCTTACAGACGGAGCACAAGTTTGATGGGCAAACAAAAGAGACAATTGCCAAAAGTGAGAAACGATTGAATGACCTCACCTTACGTTACAATCAGCTAAGCTCTCTCTTCGACGCACTCGAGGTGAGCTTTATATTGTGTTTCTTGCCCATTAGGTGACATCCCTTCTACTGTGACAATAGTTTTAACACACAAGTTCTTGGCAAGTATCCAGGCTTCAGTCTGCATAACGACGATTTAAACTATTAGTATTCGAATCTAGACAACTACATGGTATATGAAAGGTGCCATTCATCTAGTGTTCTCATGTTTCAATTTCACAAGTGGTCATCAAAATTCTTGGAATTATCCGTTCATCTAAACAAGCTTGAAGGTAAAAGGGACAGGGCCAATCAACAGAATTTTTGATGAGAGTAGAGATTCCTCTGCTGGAAACATTGTAGAAAATTCTGGAATGGCAGCAATCAAAGGAGCGGAATCGGATTCACATTTGACATTATAAACCTTTAGCGACCTTTGAGCATTCAGATTTTTATTCTTCAACCACAGGGGAATGAGTCGTTCGTCTACGCGTAGGCCGATATGCAGCTATATTCGCATTGCACGCTTTGCTGCAACAACACTCTGCACTGCGATGAAACTTCAATCCAATGAGCAAGAAAGAGATCTCGTGTACTAGAATGTACCTAGGGTTGTACGCCTCCCAGGAGAAACATCCTTTTTTATCATCTAAGAACAAGTGCTAGCCATAGCCGTTCTCAGGTTATAGCAATAATTCTAACATTACTTACAATTTATTCAGACACAAATAATTTGACTACTGCTACCGATATACCGAAATTATCTGCATTTCAGACTCATGCAGACAGGTACAAAACTCCAAAAGATGTAGCTTTTCTCCCCACTAAGCTGCTGAGTGACATCCTTGAAAAGGAGTACGCTGCTGTGGCATCAGTGGATAAGGTAACTCCTTGTTCCACTTTTCTACCCAAAAATCTCTGTAAATTTTTTTTTCAGGCGGCGTCGGCTGAACCATCAACGGGTTTGAACAGCGCGCCAGAGGAAGCTAAAGTACCTCTGCCTGCTAAGCGGTTAGTTGATCAGTTAATTAAAATTCAGAAAGAATGCATGGTTTGTAAGGTTTGCGAAAATCTCGTTTCGAAGATTCGCTGAATTTTTTTGGAAGTAGCAACTACCCTGGGTAGAACTGTTTCTATCATACGGGTGCATCAGGACTTCTACTTCCTTTTTTTGTTTTTGACAATAAAGTAAATCTATTTCTCGGACCAATATCTTACTATTTTTTCTTGTTTAAATAGAACCGCTGTTTTTTCTTGCCTACAATTTTTGGGAGCTGCTACCTGATTCCAAAGATTCTCAGTGTTTAATGTAATTTTTCGAGAGCAACTGATTTCTTCTTGTTTTGAAGGCCAATGCGCGTATCAAAATTACGGGCAGTGCGTCATAAGATTGCCGGTCAACTCTCTCCTCAAGAAATGCCGGTTTGTCATCACGGCAGGCTCTTCGTGGACTCGGTGCGCTCATTATCTGTATCTCTACTTTTTTTCAGGGTTTCACTTCTAGTTCTGTATTTTTAAAATGATTTTTTTATTTTGAGGTTCTGTTCGGTGATGTAAAAGCTGTATCTCGTGTCGCTGCTGAGTCCCTTCTATCCCAGTATGGCATCACAACAAAAATTAAATACGATAGCGACGCCACTGAAAATGCTCATCCACTGCTGACAGGGTGAATAATCTTCACCTACACTTTTTCTTTTTCATTAGTTACGGTCCATTCCTCTTTGCTTAGGAATGATTCAACACAAAATAGAAAGATATACTTTCCAAAAATATATTGTAGTGAATCGTTTAAACGCTCTGGGAAGTAAGGAGTAGGAGTAGAGCATCTGGTTATGAGGGTTGGGTGCTCTACGATTCTAACACGCGTCGTGTGGCTCATTCAAGAGGAAGACCCACCGGCACGAGCCGAATCGAGCCTAAACTCCAGGAATAGTCTCCCCTACTACCCCTTTCCCTAATCCCTTGACATTACACCCTCTGACTAACACTCATTTCGTCACCTTTCTTCTTAATTGAGAAAAAATCACCGACCTTGATGATGTTGATAGGGGGTCAGCGATTTCTTTGACTTCCGGTCCACCCAGTTCTGGGTATTCAATTTTCTATGTCCCAGTGACTGTAAGCACACATCCCCGCAGTCGTATTGTTCTCCCACGATTTGCGCCGCGCTTTACACTGTTCGCATAAAGATAACTGAAACGAGAATGGAACTAAGAGTCGTTTGTTTTCATCCCAGGATTCTTCCTCTTATTTACAGGTGTGACATTTGTGTCGACTGCGTGAAAGAGTTACGGCGAGAGGGCCAGTTTCGGGACAGTCTTGAAGGCCACGTCAAACTCGCCAATCGCATCTTCAAAGACAAAAGCAGGTGAATCAACTAGTCTAGACTTTGCCATGTCCTCTCTTTCAGTTTCACTTATAATTTCTAGCTGATCCTTTCTGTTCGTTTATGTCGTTTGGTTTTGTGGTGGTGTGCTCTAACCGCTTCCTGACTGCTTCTTTTCTCACAGAAAGCCATTTGCTTACTGCAAGCTCTTGGACAGGTGTTCCTTGTCTCGCGTGCCGAAGCCCGAAGGTTATCTGTACATATCGAAGAAATGCCTTGCCAATTTCAAGAAGCTGGCTTTACGGGAGATGGAACATCAACACAAACTTCAATCAGCCGGAGCCACCTTACAATTTCTAGTCAATCTAGCCGCGGTACGCGTTTATTATACTTTTGAATTCAGTGAAAGAACAATCACAATTGCTCTCATCATTCTATGCTTCGTGATAATATACCAGAGGGAACGTATCGCATAAATTTGTGACTTCTCATTCGAATTTGGCTTGTAATGTTATATCTTAATGAAAAGGAGAATTAAAGGTTGATTCTATGAACACTGGTAGTGCTTGCTCGCCCCGACGCAGTAGAGGTGCTCGACGCAAGCGATTAATGACAAAGAGCGAAGGTGGATCGCCTTCTTGCAATGGATGTCACACACCATCGAAACATGCCAAAGATGATAGCAGCGTTGGTACATCTGTTGCTTGTGATGAAGCGCCCTCGGCATCGCGGGAGGTAAAGGAGGAAACCGACAGTATAGTGAATGGATTAGGAACGGTCAGTTTCTTGCAGAATTGTGTTCGTTTTTTGTTTTTCAGATCGGAGATAAGGAAGCTGTTAGATACTCTAGCTTGTTCAAAATTTCTATTTTTTGCATTACGTACGCAAGTACGCACCATGCATAGCTGAAAATCTATGCAACGGTTCGCCATTTGAAACTGGCTTAATTCTTGTTTTTCGTGAAGCTCTGTACGAATTTGTTCATGTGCAGGGAAGAAGTTATCATTGGGTTAGGAACCTATTTTCTTAAGCTCCTTTCGTAAACAGCAACACCTATTTGTCCTGGAAGCCTTGTACATAACTGTTTATTGACGCTGTGCTGCTGTATTTCGTATAGCGAGCCGAATTTTTAGCATTTGTTATGCTCATCGAGTCATCGGGGCAGGTGAATGAGTTAGGCCAGCTTCAGAATGGTGTGTTCGTTGAGGGAGATTTATTTCTTGGAATCTTTATACTAAATGTTTGCTTAGTTCCATTACTTTAGCAAATCTAATGCGCTTCTTTTTGTCATTTACTTAGAGAAGCTTCTTGAGTACTCGTTTAATTGCGGTGAGATATGGACAGTGTCTAACCATAGGGAGGACAAATGCTATATTAAGAGGGTTCAAGCATCTCTCAAATTTGCCACCTAGGTTCTCATTTTTCCATGTTTTTTTTTTCAGGAGGAATTGGCATCTGCAGCGAATATGATGAGCGAGAGAAAATCATCGGTAACGGTTTGTAATCGATATCAGCTGAAGTTTGACCACTCTATTTCATGGAAAATTCAGGTTGGTGGGATGTCTTGTAAGGCGAGGAGTGCTGAGAAGGGAAAATCTGCAACATTGGTAGGTGCTATCTCATTATGATCGAACATACTGGCTAGCGCCAGTCCTTGTCCTTCTTCTATAGTCATCCACAAGTTTATAATCGAAAATTTAGGCTTGATTTCATTTTATAAATTTGGTAAGATCTAACGCATGTGCGGAAATCATTAAGTTCGCTAAAGGTTGTCCGCGGAGGGAATGTGACCAGAAAAAGTATGTCCAGTAAAGTTCGGTATTCGACCGACACTAAAGCGTTCAGCGCCTCTTCTCAAAACAATGAAGCGCTTATCTTCAACGCAGAATGGCACACTTCCGGCACATAGGTGTAGCTCATGCGTTACACTCATCTAATTTACCGTTTCTGCGAAGGGGGTTGATGCACCCGAGTTGCAAGGTTGCGGTATACCCCTCATGACCCCCTAAGGTGGCGAACGAGCACTAGATATAGCCGATTGGTTCGGGTGAGCATTTCCTTTCCATATCCACAAAGTTTTTCAGAGTTGAATTCTTGTTTTAATTTTCTTGATTTCTTTTTTTATTTATTTTGTTGTCACATTACAACTATTTTTATTTTCTCCGGTCCTTACTGAAATTATCGCTGGACGCGTCTGTTGACGCTCAGTGAATAAATTATCGAATTCTCTTGAGAAAGATTAGCTCATAAAGCCTGCAAAGAGTAAGTAACTGCGAATCCTCATATAAGCAGCAGACTGCGTTCATTCTAGCGGATGATATAACAATATGAGTGTCTTTTTTTATTGAGAGAAGGAAGAGAGCTCATGAGTGTGTATTTTAGAGATGAACATTATGAAATACCGATAATTCATTTAGGAGGACGCTACGCAGGCAGTGTCTGAGATCGATGATGTCAACTCCTCATCTGTAAGTTCCGTAGAATCAGGCTCTCAGCCAATGGAATTGGACAAATTCGAATCGGAAGCCTCTATGGTTATGATGGATACTTGCCAAGGAATTGATAACATTGAGCAAATCGATAACGAACGGCCTAGACCAGTTGAGAACGGTGAGGGTAAATCTGCCGAAGAGTGTGAGACTGATGGAACAGCCCAGGAACAGTCCGAGGCGCAAAGGTTGGTCCACTGAAGTTCCTCTCCTTCATGAATCTGTTCGTCAAGCTGGTTTTTTTAGCAACGACTCATCACCGCCTGAGCGTCCATCATCTTCACCCTTAGAGCGTCCGTCGTCCTCAGCCAGTCGATCGAGCACTCACGAGTCGGGAGCGGTTGAGTTCAATTCAGAACTTCGGTGTGAGCACGGTCAGTACTACCTTTGACTTCAGGCGACGATTCATATCTTCAGAAGCTTAGTATTTACTTTAAGGTGGCATTAATCTTGACGAGTTTCGCCAGGCGGTTAGCCCAGAGGAGTGGAAGCAGCTGTCATCTTATTTCGACCCAGCAACCACATTTCTTGTGCGGTGTGACGAGCCAATATGTCAGCAATGTGAACGAGAATTCAATGTAGGGAATTTACGCATTACCTTTGCAGAAATCTTATAGATTTGATTAACTTTGCAGTTCAAATATCACAAACATGGTCTCTCGTTTGAAGAATTTCTTAGCGGCTCCATTCGTCGTTAATCTGTCGTGGATCGATTTTTCCCTTGTCGAATTTCGATCCATTCATCGCTTCAAGGTCTGGAAGAATATCCACTTGTGACCTGCAACTGAATTAACTTCGCCAGTACGCTCACCTGAAACAAATTCGATGAACTGATGCCGGTTGGGCATCGGCATGGGTTATCGTCATTCTGCCACGGCATACTTCGAGAGAAATTTCTGCGATTCAATTGATTAGGAAATTTTCCTCTCTTCGTCATCGTCTGAGATGGTTCCCTTACTCAACCCGATACCCCTNCCACACCCCGCTTCACAAACTTTGATGAAAACTCTCAGTCAGGATGAACCCCCTTCCTGTGCTGTACCCGCTAAATTATACCTACCAAACTCCTTCTGGCTTTCACATGTTCAAATCCAAATCTACTGCTTTTGCTTCGTAGTAAGCGCTAAATGAAATCGTGCTCTTTCTACGGCGTTTGATCTGCAACTGCTATGCACCCTAGCAGCACCTAGATCTTTTTGCTATCCCCAATTATTCTTTTGGTTTTCAAGAAGGTGGAACAACGCTAATCAAATCGTTATAGCGATTAGCGTTTTGTTGGAGACAAATTAAATCTAGAAAACCAAGAGTTGTCAGAGGTTTCCAGTCGTTATAAGCCAGATATGCGTTGCTATTACTAAAACTTTGGCATTTCAGGAACAGCAATGGGGTAAACAAGAGAGGAAGGAGTCGCTGAGAGACCTCCGTGGACGTATCGGCGAACTTTTACGTGAAATCGACCGGCGGCGTCCTACTGAGGAAGAACTTGGCAAAGTATATTCGCGAGGAATATGTAGTCGATTTTTGTCCAAATTGAACGCTACAATAAGGTCAGTGTTTTACTTCAGTCGAATGAATAATTGGAGATAGTGTGATTTTTATCTTACTAAATTCATTTAAGGGCTCGAACATCATCCCTTGTACTACCATCAATCTGCCAGGGATGTGTAATGTGTTCACACGGGTTACCAAATGTAGGATTATCTTGCGACTTTGGCAATGTCCATATCGTGGCTCTCACGGAACAGGAGTGGACTAAACTCTGTGAGGAAATCTCTGCTGGGTTAGGGATGAGCGACTCTGAGTCTCCGACACCGATTGTCATTCTGGAACAAGGTCAGTCCATTTTTTTCGAATACCGCTTACTACTGAATATCGGATACTGTTTGAGGTCGAATAGAAAACATGTGTGAGGGATGTTTTGGTGAACGAATCGAAGCTCTCAATATTCAACGTTACGTGTACAACGACGCGTTTATTTACGTCGCACTGGTCAGCAAAATTTTCGTCTGCGTTCTAAATGTTTTGGTTTCCACGTAACTTTGTTTTTTCAGAGTGAGGATGGCGCTTTGAGTGCTCCCCTATCGAAAACCACAAGACGAACGCAGAAAAACAAATGCTTCAAAGTTAAGGTAAGTGCCCTTCCTGCAATGACCTTTACTTTCCGAATACCAACAATTGTTTAGATGTCATCCACGGATACAATAAAGGATCTGAAGATTCAGCTTTACAAGCAAACAGGTCAAACCCCCAACGATCAGTTGCTGTATCGGGAGTTAGGTGGTTCCCTTCTCGATGGTGATGCTACTCTGTTCGAAGCTCGTATTGAGAAGAACAATGCAGATCAAGTCGGTTCAAATCTTCTCATTCCCAAGAAATCGTGTCCATTTACTCAATTGATTTCAGCCTCTGATCCTCATTGCCCAATCGATGTCTGCTGTTGCGGCAAAATACGATGAGCAGCAACCTCGAGCTCCAGAGCGTGGTTTTATTGACACAGCCCTCGCTCATTAAACTATCTGTATTTATTTGCCATGTTTTCTATGTTGAATTATTCGATACATTGCCTTTTCTGCCTCAACCTTTACCAAAATGGTGCAGTTCACGTTTATCAGCGTTTCCAGTTGCTAATTTACTCAGGTATTGGTCACTGTTTTAGAGCGGTTTGTTTTCTTCTTTCTCAGATCTCTACTTCTTGTCGCCGTTCCGGTAGGCCATGTCGCGCTTAATTCATTCCATGGTCGCTATCTAAAAAGTTTCCTTTTTTCTCTTCTTACTATGAACCAACAGTCATATCAACATTTGTGCTTAATTTATTCAGTTTCTTTGCATCCAAAATATACAACCGCTAGATATTGCATTTAGTTGTTGCAGTAGAGTTTGATCTCATTTCTGCCACGATGAGAATTGGCAATCTTTCACTGTATCATCACTGTGGAATGCAAACGTCTTTATATAATGATTATGAAGTCATTTATGTATGTATAACTAACCTATAAGTTCTATAGAGGCTTTAATGCGATATTCTTCTTTGAGCCTTTGTACATTTAACACAGCTTTTCTGGGTTCAGCAGCTCAAACTGGGTCACTCAGTTCGACGGCTATGTATGCGAACGTTGATCCTCTTGAAAATAATAAATTATTATTAAATTGGTTCATTTGTGTTGTCTGCACGTTTTCATCGGGAGCAGACACTTACTGAGTTAGAACCAAGTTTTTCCATTATACCATGGCCTCGGCTACCTTTGTATGTTGAGGAACATCTTCCATTTGACTTCTGTTTTTTCATTTTTCCTTCAAGATAGTGCTTACAGTAATTTGAGTTGCCCAAATAGATTATGTTCTTATTTATCTAAAGGAACAATCCCTTGACGGAAAGGAATGTGATGTTTTCGCATCGGAATACCCCCGTGCAAGGAAACGGTAGAAAAAGTACCGCAGCGTTCAAATGGACGTGACAACGTGGAAGAGGGCATACATCTGCTGTCGAGGGAGCCGAATAAGTCCTGTATTGTTTAATGTTAGAGTGGAAATCGGAGAAATAAGTGGTCGAAGGTGTTTGCTGGGTAATAGCGAATTGTTCATTACCAACCAACACTTAGCGTAATGGGCAGTTCTTTATTGCCCACCAGCCACCTTCATACACTTATTTCCTTGATTTTTACAGCAGCAGTAGAGATTATAAAAAAGCCTATTCCGCCTCCTAAATAAGTCGGATTATGCTCATTTCGCGCATGCTCCGCCCTGCTTCCTACCAGTCCCCCGCAGACGGAGTCCAGTTAGTTTTTCCTATCACCTACCGTCACCATCCTGCCGCCTGTGTCCCCTTCCAGATATGAAGGCCCTAGGCCTAAAAGGAAGTTTGCGCGCATGCACCGCCCCTGTAGCGGAGTTTAGTCCATCCATCTCGCATGGGTGTTTAATCCTGCTGCCTTTACTTTTACCAACTGTGAACGCTCTGGGCTCATGGAAACAGGAGATATGAATTTCCGGTCTAACACGCACACCGATAAACCAAAGGGCTTTATCCAGAAACTGGCTGTGGAACTGTCGGAACAAACGCAAGTTAAAAGGCAAATTGATCACAATTGTTATGCGGACATCGAGCTCTGGCGAAAACCACATTTCCTCTCCTGAGGTCGAAGGAGTCGTCCTTTTTAAGCTGTTCATACCGACATTCAGTCGATCGCAGTATGAGAGTGAGGTCATGAACCTAGAGACTAGTCCGACTAGTCCTAGGACCTTTGCTCCCACGAAGATCTCGCCCTCATGTGAGTAGCAATTGGTCGCCCTTCTCATTTCACAACAGATTTTTGAGATCCAATAAAAGAATTTTAATTGTCTCGTCTCGGTCTGAATTTTTTGCAACATAGTCCTAATGATCGATGATCTTGATATTGATGATTTTCTGCCTTCAAGCATTTACAGGTTGTCGGACGATTGTCTCATGGCTGGCTTAGCGGTAAACAAACAAAGAAGAAACTTGACGCAGCGATGTCCACACGAGCTCCCCGGCGATATGCGGGCATCCCCGTGAGGGCAACGACTTCGATCGCGAGCCTTTTTGCATCGATTGCGCGCTGGGTGGCTCTGCTTGGTGGGCTTCCCGCTGTTTCGTTGGCTACTTTTCGAGCAGTGGATTCAAAGGGACTTCCTTTGTAGGCTTAATGGAAGGCTATTTTGCCCCATGTACTTCATAGTTGTTACTGTTGTTTTGCATTGTTGGGCGTTGGGCTAAACATTATCCTCAGTTCTGTGGGAGACCTTCCTGCATCTATTCTCTGATGGCCGGAAAGGCGATGTCCGAACTAGAAATTCAGCTTGAGGTGGCACTCGCCTATTGAATGACCGATTCTGATCTGGGCGGTCCCAACTGCAGTTGTTTACGTCTGCTGCAGCCACCCTCAGTGACAAACCACCCACTCGTGACTGGATCCCCTCTGCTAAGCTGTTGCCTTGAATGGACTCCCGATTTCGACACCCGGATTCACCTCCCAAGGTTTTCGTCGAGACTAACACCGATCATAAATGTGAGTTGCAATGGTTCGATATCCGTAGCCCTCCTTCCTCTCTGTTTACTCAAACCCACGGCGCTACACAGTAATGTTTATCTCGTCGTTTTGTTTACAAGGCCTTAAACCACGACATCGTTTTTTCCTTGGATGTATTCGCGTTTTAATAACGGAAAAGAAATCCATACTAGTACACCAATTGAGGGACAATCAATCGCTCTGAATTACCAGGAATTCGTTTCTCTCAATCGATCGTTTCCTAGTATTCGAAAAGTTGTGAAGTTATAAGGGACCAGAAATTATCGAAGACTGTTGGTATCGGAGTTTCTTTTTTTAGAATGAAATCCACGAGGGCTGAAGGTTCATAACATTGATAAGGATGAAAAGAAGGAACAGATAGATAAATCAATGCTTTTAGTAGTATCAAAACAAAAACTTGAAAGACAATATCAATTGATTGACTTGCATGTACTGGGAACTCGCCAAGTCATCCACATTTGGACTCCCTTGTATCCTGGGAACTTCTTAAGTCATTTTTATTTCGTCCCCTGATGATTAGTATCGGGATCCGCTTTGTATAAAACACTATCCACATCGTTCAAAAAAAAATGCGGAAATATCAAAATGTACGTTTTTAAGATTTCTAAGATTTTTACGGAGATTTTGCGTTCCTGGAACATTTCCCTGTCTAGCCACTTATAATGCCTGAAAAAGGGGTCCACTGTCTGATGAACTTCGTCAGGGAAGTTTTTGAATTACGGAAATATGTATAGTTGGCACCACCTCGAGTATACTTTACGAGACTTTGAATTGGTTTGTGTGCATTTGCATCCACCCTGCTCCTCCTGCTCCTCCTCCCCTCCTCCCATCCCATCGTCCAATCGGCACTGGGTGTGCGTTTGTCTGGGAAAGCGAGGACCTTCTGCGTTTGCCATCCTGCAGCCAACAGTCGCTCATTCCGCTGTTTTGCTGTTTCTCAATCGATCGCGTCATGTCTTTGTCCTTCGAATCATCTCACTGTTACCTTCGAATCTTCTTTGTAAACAAGTTCATTACTACTCAGTGTGTGTGACTACTCGTGACATCAATAGTTTAGGGTCAAGGTCCACCGATTGAAACTG